TAAATTAAAATAAAACCAGTTAAAAGTATTCTATGCACAATAAATTAAAATAAACCATTTAAAAAAAATTGTATACTCAATACTTTTAAATAAAATGATTTAAAAAAATTCTACACACAATAAATAAAATATTCTTTAAAAAAACATTAAAAACATAAAAGAAAAAAAAAACCAGAGTCACTTACCAGCAGGTAGAATCAGCAGCTCTCCGATGCAATGGATGCAGCAGGGAGCAGCCAGGCGATGAGGCAGCAGGAAAGCTGGACTAAAGGGCAAGGGACAACCAGGTCAGCTAGGCCTGCCGCCTGGCAGGCTTAGCCAGCCAGGCGAGGCTGGGGACTGGAGGGAGGGGGGGGGGTAACAGGAAACCACCTTTCGGCTACGCGGCATATGCCAGCTCACATATGCCAGCTTGCATATGCCAGCTCACGTATGATAGCTCGCATATGCTAGCTTCCTGCTGCCATCTCCGCAGCACCCCTTTCAGCCATGCGGCATACACCACTCATGGCTTGTGAAAGGGGCAGGCTAGTGTAGGCTAGCCTCCCACCACTGCCACCGCCCACCCCCTTTCGGCCATGTGGCATACGCCAGCCCGCGGCTTTCGTGAGGGAAAGCCTGAAGGCCTTCCCTTGCAAAAGCTGTGAGCTGGGGTACGCTAGCCTCCTGCCACCACCGCCACCACCCACCCCTTTTCGGCCCCATCCTGGTATACACTAGCTTCCGGCTGCTGCTGCTGCACCCCTTTCGGCCACGCAGCACACGCCAGCCCATGGCTTTCGCGAGGGAAGGCCTGAAGGACTTCCCTCGTGAAAGCCAAGAGCTGGCATACGCTAGCCTCCCGCCACCGCTGCCCCCCCTCACACTTAGTTGCTTACCTGAGGGAAGCAGCAAGCTGCTGGAAGGCAAAGCGAAGTGAAGGGAGGACCTGATCAGCAAGCGTGATGCAACAGCTGCTCAGGAACGAGAAAGACTCTTTTCAAAAGAGGAATGTTGGCTGTTGGCACCGAGCTTTTAAATGGATGTTAGATGTGGTCTAGTCGACTCCAGCCCGCTCACTGATTGGCTGGACTCCAGCCAATCAGTGAGCGGCAGGCTGGGCTAGTTTAGTGCGGCCAGGCGGGGGACTGAGCGAGCTGTGATGGAACGGGTGGGGCGAGTGAGCGACAGGGCTAGGGCAGGCGTTCTGGAACTTAGTTCCGGGTTCACCGGAACCTCTTCAAACTGGTATGGTAGATTTGATGAACCTCTTCTACCGAACCGGTTAGAACCAGCAGGAACCCACCCCTGGTCTGATCTCTCAGCAGCTTTCAGTACCATTAGTCATGGTATCCCTGTGAGCTGTCTCTGAGGGCTAAGGGAGAAGGCCACTATTCTTCAATGATTTTCCTTCCTGAAGGAGCAGTTTAAGTCAGATGGAGAAGGGAAGAGATGGATTTCTAGATGGATTTGATGATCTCCTCACTCCATTTCAACATCTAGGGAAAGTGTTGGGGGAGATCATTTTTCTAGCATGGACAGATGCTCTGATAGTTGCCCAGTGAGTTTCATAATCTCTGCATTTGCGTCTGTAGAGATTTTGGAATGTGCTATTTTGTGGCTTGTGTCTCATTCTTCTGTTAAAATTTGTTTAGAAAGGGTCACTTTGGGAAACAGAGAATAAGAGAGGCAGAGATTTATGCTGTTTATTTTTCTTGATCTGGTTTGCTCTATTCCATGTGATCCTTCATCTTTCCCAAATCCAAACACTTTCATCATTCCTTAAGCTCTCAGTCTGCTTGTCTGATAGTCCTTATTTATCTCTGTGTCAAATCTATCTGCCAGTTTTCTTTTCTTTCAGGGTTTCTTTTTATCCCCTTTCAAGTCCTTTTCATTCTCACTTTAATTAAATTTAATGCTTCTTTAAAAATAACTTGTTTTCTTTCTGCTATTAGTCTATCTTGTCCTTGTCTGCTTTCTTACTAGGTGTTCTCCTTTAGTGAGTCTGATGTAGTGTAATTAAAGTTAGATTATTATGTATAGTACAGATTAATTATTTATCCGTTTATATCAGATGTATAGCTTATTTTAAAAACAGTTTTTGGAAGTTTTAGTAGACCATTTTCTGCATGGGTTCAGCATAACGTCTCTATGAATTTTTAGTTGAACAATTTGGTGACTGCTGTGCTATGCTGTGATTTTCTTATCCTTGCTATCGCTGTCTCAAAAGAGATCCAATAAAATATTTAAATCTGTTGTTGTGAAATCTTTCAAGCTATGTAGCTAACTTTTTCTGAATCAATGCTATCAAAAGAACTTGATAACAGATGTTTTGATGCCGTCCTGTTAGAGACTATACATATTTTTGTGCATATTTTCGTAAAAAAAGAGTCTTGAATCTGTTCAGATTTAGTCCTGTTGTCTTCAAAGCTTGAGCACATATCCAAATCTAAGCCTGCCAGACTGAGTTCAGATTGAATATTGACAGATCTGAACATCCCTATTAGATGGAACTATAGAATATCTTAAGAATGTTTTCTAATTGATTGTTTACAAGAGTCTCCTGAAGTCTGTATAGATGTTATATTTGGAAATGTTGCCATTTTGCCCTGCAACAATTTTATAAATTATTCTTAAATGTTTATTCTATATTTTTATCATACAACACCAAGGGCAGATTTTCTAAGATGCATATAAATTATGTATTGAATAATTTAATAAAAATCTTGAGACTTAAAAAGAAATAAAATAAAAGGCATATACATAAAATAAATAAAATAAAAATTAGATGGCTGGATAACCAAGTATCTCATCTCTCTTCAATTGATGGATAAAATGTTATATATATATATATATATATATATATATACCATGTTTCCCCCAAAATACGACCTGTCCTGAAACTAATGCCTTGCCACATTTTTCGCGTGGGCAAAAATATAAACCCACCCCCAAAAATAAACCCTCTGGACAACCCCCCCTCTGGCCAGGCAG